ACAACAACAACAATATCAACAACAGCTAAAACAACAACAATGTCTAGAACAACAATTACAACAACAGAAATATCAACAACAGTTACAACAACAACAATGTCTAGAACAATGTATACAACAATGTCTACAACAATGTCGACAACCACAATATGAACAACAAATATTACTAGAGCAACCACAATATCAACAACCAATATTAATAGAGCAACCACAATATCAACAGCCAATAATAATAGAGCAACCACAATATCAACCACAACCATATCAACAACAATCTGCTGTTACTGTTCGTCGTCCAGGAAAAATAGGTGTAGTAAATAAATATTATGTTACTGAAAAACTTGTTCATTATAAAAAAATGCCTGATCGTCTTGTACCTGTATTAGTTAATGATCGAGCTCAATCAACTGATAATATTCATCATCGGTCACCATCGACAACTCGTACGATTGAAGAATCTTTTCATTCAGAAAATCGAACACACCGTTCACAAAATCAATTACAACGTTCACAATCTCAACCACGTATTCATTATCAACCTACATCATCAACATTTACACCTAATGTTCGAACACAATTATCATCAGCATATTCACCTTTATCACGACATCAATCAGTTCATGAATTACATGCTACATCAACATTGTCTCGTGCACCATCACCATCACTTTCACTTCATAGTTTACATAGTAATCATCAATCTCAACATCATCGACGACCAGTTGCATTTAATAATCGTTATCAAGTACGAAATCCAACACAACAACGACAAGTGCAGCAACAACAACATCAAGATGGATTATTAACAGAAATAATTGATAGTGGAACAGGTGAAAGAATTTTAACGGTCAGTCAAGAACAATTACCAACAGAAGTACGAGGTCTTTTAAATAAATATAATTTACAATAATTTTAATTTTTTTTTTCCTTTTATTTGTGTCTTTTTTTTTCGAATACAATAAAATAAATTCATTAATATTAATTAAATAGAAATAAATAAACAAAAAACAAAAAATTTGATTATCATTAATCGTGACATGTCTATTTTAGGATTCTAGATGATAATTATCTACTTAGAATTTTTTCTAGTCAAGATTGTCAGATTAATAATATAATTCAGTGATATTAA